TGTTTAACAACGATGGTCTCCCTTGCCCGCCAACAAATGCCTAATGTTGTGTGCCGGTCTGGATGGTTCTGAATCCTCTGAGCTTGAGGTTGTTTTGTTGTCCCTCACCCAACAATTGGTTATCTAGAAGGAGTCCTTGTGCTGTGTTAGGCGTTTTTAATATTGTTTCCTTTGTTTTGCTGTATGTGCTTAGTGATCATGCGCAGTTTGATAATTTGGGTGTTGACGCCAAAAAGTGGTTCTCTGACTTAGAGGGTCAACTTAGTAATTTTATGCCTTCGGTAGCCTTGATGCCTCGGTAGTCTACGCGATCTGCAATATGAGCAAACGCTCGGTAAGACCTAGGGCACCGGTGTGGTACCGGCCGAAGGCTCTCCGATGCTTAAGTAAGTTCGGGAATAGAAAGTTCAACTGACAGATCAATAGGCTTGTATGCCGTAAGTTCTGATTACCTCTATTTTGGGATAGTTGGCCTCCTTTTATAGGTCTTGGGAGGTGTGCACTTTGTTGAATATTTCAATGTGGGACTGTGGGCGTCGCTTGGGAGCGTGCCACGTGTCCCAGGAGAGGGCGTTGCCCTAATGGAGAGATCGGTAGGTAGAGTGCCGAGGGCGCCTCTGACCAAGCCCAGTTTTCTTCACGTGTCTTGCCCTTATTGGCTGTTTATTTTGGGTGTAAACATTGGGAATCTCTTCTTTTGGGTTCTCCCCTTTTATTAATGAAGTTCGGTTCATCTGATTTGCCCACAAAGAAAAAAAAAACTATCGAGCCCTTGAGTTTAAAATGCTGGCTTCTTTAGATGTACGGCGTGTAGGGTTTTTTTTTAGTCATTGACAGCTATTGCGAACTGCAACTTTTGCTGTAGTAATAGTTTCCTAGTGGTTTAGGGAATCTTAGTGGTATTTAATATTGTGCAGGCATCCTACTTGCGTGTGTTTGGTTTTACGTTAGGTTAGTGGTGGTCCTACCATGTCCATATACTGCTCTTGGTTTTCAAATTGTGATCATTTCACCATGAATTCAAAGTTTGAACAAGAGTTTTGTTCACACGTACGTATTCAAATAGCGTTTGAAAACCTGCCCGTGAACTAGAGAGTGGTCTCTATCGTTTGAACTGTAACATTGCTGTGTCTTGGCATTACGTACGTGTCCCTTTTTATTTTGGCATAACTCTTTTGTTCATCTTTCCCAAACCCCCCCCCCCTGAGGTTCTCCTGAGCTATCTGCTGATTGGGCCGACCGTAGGGTTTAAGTTCTCGTGGGCGCATGTAGTCGTAGTAGTCGGCTCTGAATACGCAATCTCCATCCAAACACTCGCGTCTCATCTAGTGTAACATTGCCGGTACCGCCGACATCGACTCTCACTATGGTAGGATGGAGGACAAGACTTGTTGGCGAGTCCTTAGTTAGGATTTTGGTTCCTTACTTAGTTAAGATTTTGGTTACTTACCAATTTATTAATTCTATTGTAATTGAGATTTATTTACCCTAAACCTCTCCTGCCCTCCTTTTCAAGGGGAGAAGGGAGAGTGAAAAAGATATATTTCTCTAGGGCTGATTTTCAGATGGATCGTATCGAAATAAGAGGATTCCAATCCCATTGTAAAAAAATTCGAAATAAAAATTCTTTTCCAATTATGTTCCAAAAATTTCCAAATTTCAACATCCATTTAAATTCGGAATTTTTGAAATTTTTTGAAATTCTTTTGGAAAATTTGAGAAAATCATTTTAAGTTTTAAACATGTCTAATGATTTGAACGGTTAAAGTTGGCTCAAAATTGAAAAATCACATGAGAAAATATCGTTGAACTTTTGTTTTGATCACATGCAGGACAAAAGAGGGCCACTCTTGTCCATGTCTTGTGGAAAAATTCTACAATACATTGTACATCAAATTTGGAAAGCAGCAATTTGAATAATCACCAGTGTTGACTGGTGAAATCAGCGGTCAACGTAAACTTTGATCCTAGAGGGGGTGCAAGGTTACTGAAGGAAGTTGAGGTTCCACCCCAAAACCAATTGGCAATGGGGGGAGTAGCCCAACTCCTTATAAACCCAGGCTAGGTCCCTTAACATTTCAATGTGGGACAAATACTCTCAACACGCCCCCGCATGTGTGGCGAACTTTCAAGCCTAACACGTGGACAACACATATTGGGTGACGTGGGAGCACGTGTAAGTAAGGTAATAATGCTCTTTTTAATTAACTTTCCCTACAAAAACCAAATAAAAGAGGTATAAAAATATAGGAAATAATACACTTATCAAGTAGTAAACGTGCCTCATGCCATTAAGAAAATTGGGGCTGAACTCTCAATTCGAAGAAAAGATTAGAGTTAAACCATTGCACTCAAGGCTTAACGATCTTGGGGAAAATTTAGGTATCAAATTGAGATGGGCAGCATTGAGGTTAGGGTTTTGACACTATTTTGAGGTGATATCGAGGATTTGTCGAACTTACGACTGTAAAAAAGCATATTAACGTTGATAGAGGGCCAAAGGATCTTGGTGAAGCTTTTGCTTCCAACTGAGGTTGTTTAACTATCGAGCCCTTGAGTTTAAAATGCTGGCTTCTTTAGATGTACAGCGTGTAGGGTTTTTTTATTATTAAACATAAAAATTCCCCATACTTATGATATGTATTAACATAAAAATTCATTATTAAACTATTGTTTGGCTACATGGGGAGGTGGTGTGCTACAAGAAGATGAGAGTGGGTGAGGTGGTCGGCTAGTAAAATATGAGAGGGCCGGGGAATGTGGTATGAAGATGTGAGAGTGGGTGAGGGTGGGTCAGGTATTGCTTCCCTATCATTATTAATTTATGATTTTAAAGTGTACAAATTCTACAATTTGTGGAATTTAAAACTCCTTACTTGAAGCGAAAAGCTTTAATTGAGGTGGGTGGGTGGCTGGCTGTGTCTGTGTGGGGTGCGGCATGGGGTGGGTTGAAAAAGAAGGCACGACCAGGAAGAAAAAAAGAGTGAGAAAGAATGGAGAGGCTTGGTTTGGAGTTTCCTTTCTCTGAATCTGAATCTTATTTCTCTTATATTTCTGTATTTCTTGTTCTTCTTCTTCTACATGTCATAAGTATATTGTTAATGCTGAGTAAGAATTATGTCTTCTTGTCCACTAGTACTATTTTGTGTCATGTCAATGAAGAACCATGGTTTTGAGCAACCAAGCACAAATAAAGGTTTTTATTAAGTGTGTTCAAATAGCATTATTGTGAAACACATCATTAATTCGTGTAAGAAAATCTGTAGTGTAATTATAAAGGAAAAGGTGTAGGCATGTTACAGTACCTTACCTGCATTGCTTGAATAGAAACCCAATCAAGGAAAGTGGATAAAACACAAATTGTAGTCATCATATGCGCGTTTTCGTTCGATTAATGATTGATATCTTGAAATGTATATGAATCACATGTATATTTCCATATTGATATCTTGAAAGTCATTTCTAGTACCATAATAAATAAATAAACAAAAACAAAAAAGAAAGTTGCGAATCTCTGCAAAGAATTCTTGTTCATTCTAAGAAATATCTCATACAGTATCCGCATGTTAACTAACCTAAAAAGAAATTGAAAAGTCAAAATAATATGCCGAATTAAAAAAACTAAAATAAAAATTCAGTTGAAAGAAATAAAAAAGGGTCCCAAGCATCACGGGCCTATTTGCTTTTTTTGCACGAGGAGAGTGAATCTTTGGACTTTAAGTAGGAGAGAGAGTGCTGGGGAAGGAGTTTTTCATGGGTACGTAAATAGTTTACTGGTTGGTACGTAAATAGTTTTTTTTTTTTTTTTTTTCCAAATTGGTACGTAAATAGTTTACTGGTTGGTAAATGGAGACTGGTCGGTAAATGTAATGATGACAATATTCAAATACATTAACTTGGACCTTATTTTTTTGGTTGGCCGTGGAGTCAAAAGAGTTTATGGCATGCTTTGGGCACTTGGGTACTTACGATATCTTAGGGATCAATGGAATTTCTCTCCCAATCTCCTCAAACCAAATCAAAATTGTTAAACGGAAACCATCAGGTTTAAGCATACATGAATCAAAGTTATTCAACTTACTTTATATGCCTATAACTTTATAAACTAAATCGACATATAGGAGCTCCTTTAGCCTATTATACAATCAAATCATAATCCTTAAGCACGGGGACCAATATTCTTGTGCTGGAGTGGGAGGTGGGAGGTGGGAGGTGCGGGGTGGGGTGGGGCAAGGCGGGGACATGCATTTTAACAAAAATTGGCCGTCACACACATCACCCATTAGACAAGCAACTAGTGACGGAGCCAAAAACTTTGACAGAGGAGGCACCTCAAATATTAGAATATATTTTTCTTACGGTGACATTTGAATTAATTTTTTACTTGATACAAAATTCCTAAATTTGATTACTATATTCTATTATTTTACATATCACATTTACTATCTATTTATCATTGATAATAGCAAAAGATATTGCATGGTACATGGTATTAAACTCTAAGCAATGAGAAGAAGAATATTATTACATAAAAAGAGGCCTACAGGTTGGTAATGCTGTTGCAATTTACCGCAAAACACTCACAAAAAATGTCCACTTTGCATGACTTCAATTCTAGTAGTGGAATAAAAATCTCCACTTGATCGTCTTATGGCATCTGTTACTACTTAGCAATTTTCTTAACATGAATTTATAATTATATTTTCAATGCTTTTAATGAAATTTTATTTTATATCCTAATTAAAACATGAAAGTCCATTGTGTTTTTCAGAATCATCAGGGTTGGAAGAATCCCTAATATTCCAATTATTCTTTGGTGTGACTGATCCCAAATATTCCTTGTATACAAACAAAGTAATTAAAACTGCCGGACAAAATCACATCCGCAACATTTCAAAAACAGAATATACAATGAGACATGTGGTGGAGAATAGAAAGTTTTACTCATGTACGCCATCTAATATGTTTCACAATAACTACAAAGAGTTTATACAAATGCGGAGGAGTCCAATGGCAACATCAAATTCTCATATGGTATATCCACACATGGCTAAAGAAATTCTGGAATTAATATGAATAGCCGAAAAAATGCAAGATTCTACTTATAATACTCTTGCAGTTGTATTTGATGTTGCCAAAGTCTTGTATCCCAACTCTTCGGGAATTAACTGCTATAATAGTATTTTTATCAATGTTGTGACTGATACCTTTGTTTTTTAGGAGGCCCTCGTTTCCTTCACAGCCACCTTGACCTTGGCCGGCATTGCTGCAGTCGATATTGACGTTGTCACAGTTGAATATCCCGACATCTGAGGATCCATTGCATGCTGTAATTTCATTTTCAGTAATTCTGGATTGGTTGGTGCTGCCGCCATCTTCAGTATTAGTTGTCTTCAAGTTCCATTCGAAGTTGCTGAAGTTTTGATACGCTTCCGGAATTCTATCTCCTACAATGTCATTGCCACGAATGTTGAGACCGTCACCTTTGGGTTCCTCTCCTCCAGCTTCATCTTGGCCTTGGGCGGAACTCGAGCCAACTGCTGCTTTGCCGTGATCTTTAGGACTAGTAGTCTTGCAGTTGCAGTTGATGTTGGTGTTGCCAAAGTTTTCTACCCAAACTTTTGTGGATCTATTATCTGCAGTAATTTTATTACGATATATGCTGTGACAGATAACTTCGAATTCACGGCTACCTTGCCCTTGGCCGCCATTGTTCCGGTTGACATGTACGTTGTGAAAGCTTGAAATCCCAACACCTGATTCTCCTTTTGTTGCGGCAATTGTATTTTCATAAATCTTGGATTGCCTGGTTCTTTTCATATGGTATTCGATCTTGTGACCTTCACCTTGGGGTTTCTTTCCTCTTTCACCACCTTGGCCTTGGGCCGCGTTGCTCCAGTTGACATCTGAGTTGGGAGACTCAATAATCCCAAAATCAGCTGCGCCATCGAGACCTCTTATATCATTTGTGGCACTATATCTGTTGCTGGTGTCTTCTTTTCCCATTATTGGCTGGAGATTTAATAGGCAACAGGTACACAAACAAGATAAATTTTAATCATAATTCTATTTAAATTTTAAAAGATCAGAAACGATATTCGGATTACCTAAATCCTACGACAAAGCAGGAATCAGATTCAACAAGGACTAACAAAAATAAAAAAAATAAAAACCATGAGTAACTGAGTGGAAATCTTCCAAATTAAAAATAAATAAATAAAGCAAAAATTTGAAAATTTTAAGAATTAACAAACCGAGACAAAATTTTACTTACAATTTAATTAATTAACAAGAATGAAATTGACATCTTCAAGCAAAACCAAATCTTGTTCTCTCACCCTCTCTTTTGGATGATCTGCTTCTAAATACCCAAACACTAAATTTATTCAATGAAGACCCAAGCCCTAATTTTGTTCATTGTTCACCATACCCCTAATTTGATAAAATGGAAGCCACAATAAAGCAGAAAAATCGACATAGGTAACTCATAAACTCCAAAAATGAAACAAATAATTAGAAGAAAATAATTGGAAAGGCATACCGACTGTGTGTCCTGGGTCCGTAGTTTCGATTCGACCAACAAAGCAGAAAATGACTGTGAGGTGTGGATGGAGTTTGGACTGAGAGCAGAAAATGACTGTCCTTCCTTCCTTCCTTCCTCCCGCTTTTATTTCTTCGAAAAGCGGGGACCTCTCCCAACAAAGTCTGCTCTATTCGCAAGCGCCTGGGATCGAACCCAGGACCTCTTGTTTAAAGGATCCAAGCCCCTTCCACTTGAACCAACTCCTGTTGGTTCCTTCCTCCCACTTTTATTTCTTCTTCTTTTTAGTTAATGAAATTTTTGGTTCGGTTGCACTAAAGATAATAGAACGGCAAAATCATATATTAAAAGTGCTGCTATGTATCGAAAATGAGTTGAGGAAAAGAGTTTTTTTTTTTTTTTGGTTAAACCGTATAATGGGGGGGTTAAGGTTTTTTCATAAGTCCTTAGAAGCCATTTTATAAAGAGATAAATTTGTGTTTAAAAATTTGAAAATAAGGCAGGAGGAAAAATAGGACATGTAGGTGGAAATAGCAGCATCGTAGTCTACAAATTAACCATAAAATTTCTTGATCTCTCTTTTACTCATCTTCCTTAAATCTTCTAGGTTAATTTATTATATTTGCACTAAAAACTCCTAAAGTTTTAACCTTTCTTTCTCTTCCTCTTTTGTTTAAAGCTTTGTGAATTTTTTATCTTCCTCAATTTTTTTTTTCATGTATGAGTTGGGTACCTTAATATTGCGCTTTATGAACTCTTTTTTTGTTTTTTTCTATTTATTTTCAGTGTTGGAATATAAATTATTAATTTTTAAGTCTTTGCATAGATGATGAAATTAGTATTAAAACAATTTAAAATATGAAATTCATGATAATTATGAAGAGAAGACAAGTTTTATGAAGGGCCCCTCTAATGTGAAATCCTAGTTCCGCCACTATTACTTAGCATTAATATACTTATGGCATGTAGAAGAAGAAGGAATACAGAAATATAAGAGAAATAAGATTCAAATTCAGATAAAGGAACAAAAAGAAAAGTTTGATTGTAACAGCGTTGGTGGCCGTACATCTCCAAACCCTTCCGCTGCGTAATTGCACGGGAAACTCCAAGCCACACGTTTCTTGCTCACTTATTTATTTGTTTATTTATTTTTTGCCAACTATTTATTTTTTTCTTCTTGGCCGGGTCTTATTTTTCACTCAAGCCACTTGCTTCATTTTTTTGTTTTGCTTACTCACCATTAATATATAAAAGAAAAAAAATAAAAGCTAGAACAAGAAGAACAATAAGACTAAGAAGAAATGGTACGCTCGATTTCTTGTAGTACTTGTTGCCGACTTTGCTAATCCCTGCACGCTTGCCTTTGTTTGAATAAATTGCTATTGCCACCAATGTTGTGGTTCCTTGCTTGATGAACATCAACAGCACCTCCACCTTCATGATATTCGTTGTAAGTGTCGTGAATACCAACATCAGTGCTTTCATTTGCGATGATTTCATTCTCAAGAATGTTGAAGGTTTCGCTATTTTCATCAGTATTTTGTACCTCACTACTATTTTCGTTGTGCTGGAGCTCTTGTTCAGTTCTTTCTTCTTGGCGCTCTAGTTCAGAAAGCGTTCTAGGGACACCAGAAAAACGGTTTCTTACCCTCTCCTGTGGGCTCTTGTTCAGTTGTTCAGCTTCAGTTCGAGACCTATCTTCTATATATGCAAACTAATTACATAAATTCCTCATAGGCATACACACATAGAATCACATCAAGGAAAATATCTTGAATCAAATAAAAATATTAATCATGTATAGTAGTACATACATACCTGCCATTGATGAAAGCTCAAAAGAAAGTCTTCTCCTCTCTGTAGAGTTCTTATGTTCAACTTGCAATAGGGACACACTATTATATATGTGGATTTATTTATTGCTCTTTATTATATCTGGAATGATCAACTTGAAATATATAGACTCTGCCAAAAAGTACCGTGTGTGGAGAAGGTTAGAGATTTTCCTTTCTTTTTTTTTTCCCCCAAACCTCGATGGTGCTAGTGCATTTATTAAAAATAAAATAAAAGTATAGCAAATTAACAATCCAAAATTAAGCAAAATAAAGATTAGGCAAACCAAATCAATATAACCTAATCACACAAGCCCAAATAATAAATACACCAGTCCTACCAGGTGAGAAGAGCAATTACCACCAGTCCTACCTACCCTAGCAGAAATTATCAAGACTCGAGGGAGAGGTCATATCAAGAATGCAAAATAACGATAGGGATTTTCAGTCGTTTTACCCTGAAGTATCATGCTAATCGGCACTTTATCCTAACAACAATAACTACAGACGTCATGTCATTGAAAAAATCAGATCATTTTTTTTTGCTGCATTGCGTTCATTCAGCTTCCGGTGGAGAGTAGAAATATACTTCAAAGGACCCCCTCTTGTCCCCTGTCAACTAATTGGGGTGGGTGGCATTTTAAAGTCGTCATGGTTATTCATTCTAATCATTCATTTCAAATATACTTTTCACTGTATTGGGTTACAATTTTTTTAACTGTTTGTCTTTTCTCTTTCTTACACAAGAAAGATTGAGAGGACGAAGAATCCGATACAAAAGTTTAGATGATGCTCTTACCTTTAATTGCTTGCCACCATTAGTCATCTTCACATCATACATAATCGATTTGTTGTTAAATAATTGTCTTGAGATGACATAAAGTTGATGTGTATCATGACCATTGGTCCTTAACTTTTTTATTTTGATTTTGATTTTCAAACCATTTGCGCATACACGTTTGTGAGCTCAAACTCTTACTTTTCACAGGCTTTTTCAATATCTAAAGATATATTCTTCCGTACACTAACGTCGCAAAGAATTACTTATTAGCTTCTACATTACTTTTTCGTCCCTATATATGTCATTAATTCTAGCAAAGTCGTGACAATGGTTAATGATTGTTCAAAATCTAGCCATAGTGTCAAATTTTTTGTTAAGTAGTGTTGTGAAATTATTGCAAGCGCACAATTCGCACAAGTAATATAGAAATAAGTAGAGTATCGTTCCCACGAAGACTGTAATTTCCTATTAATTACCAATTATGATTAATTCAAAAGTTTATCTGAACAATTGATTAAGAAGATTGATTGATTTAAGTAACCTAAAACAATTATGAAAAATAGCAATTTAATTAATGATAGAAAATTAAGATGATGAGACACTAGAGCATCCGATTTCACCATAACCAATTCCACTTAATTCTTATAGCCAATTAACCCTAATTACTATCCATATTGACAGTTGGTTTCTCCTAATTCATTCGATATCCCCTCTCGGGCTCAACCAAAAGTATTCTTAATTAACAACCCATTCTCTCTCGAGCAACAAATTTAGAAAATCAAGAACCCATTAAGTTCTATGAGAACCTGCAAGAAAACTGCATGAGTCATGTTAGTCCCTCTCGGGCACTCATTCAAGACATGGTATTTGTTACAAGAAGCAAACACCAAACATCTCCTCTCGGTCTCCGCTTGGATCATCAAATCAATTAAATATTGGCCAGATATTCAAAGCATTAAGAACAGTAACAAATACTCAACATGGAATAGTAATAAGAAATTAATATAACTATAAAAATTAAGTATTCATGGTTAGGCTACATCGTAGCCCTAGCAAGGATAATTAGTTCATGACAAAAGAAAAGATAAACAAGAGAATT